TGAATATATTCAAAATATAATGTAGTAAATGCCTATATAAAGCAAATTTCTGCAACACTCACTTTCGAAAAAATTTACCTTGAGAAAGACACGATTCCATCTCTTCTCCCCTCACCTACAGGTTAAATAACAAAGTGAACTGGAATCTCTAGCTTTGGGTGACAATCATTTTATGAGAAGTAAAACTCTGAATTACACAACGTGGAGAAGGCAATGGGGAACATCTCCAATGTCTTTCCTAATAAAGCATGGCATTTCACAAACAGTAACGAAAAAGAAATTTGTGCCCCCGTCCTGGAGTAGTATGGCATTTCAAATAATCCAGTACAAAGCAGAAAATACATATAAAATATGCTATAAATATATGATGACTCAGTACACAAGATAGTATAATGCCTACTGGAGGCGATGTATTTAACATTCACCGTGCAATATTATGAACACAACAGCATACCAATATAATAAATTTACACACAGAATAATATGATATGTTTACAAGTCAATAATTACGTAAATCATATGGCGAAAACAACAAATGTTATGAACCTTTAAAATCTGAGTGGTATGTGAACGAATCTTATAAGAAACTACTTTTATATACTTCTGAATATGTTCGCAATTCTTTAAAATTTACTCCCTATAATGATGTGAAGAGAGTCAAGTGTTTTCGATAAAATGTAATAGAATTTTGTGTTGGCAGTCATATCCAAGATTCAGTAGTGAGGCTTCAGATAGCTACCATTAAAGTGTGCTTGTACCGAAGAGGACAATGTATCTAGAAATAGAACCTCTACATTTTAGTTAACTTTATAATGTAATGATTATAACGCCTGATAAAATAGGAGACTAATTTGCAATGCGTAAAATAATTTTATATTCACTTCTGGACTCTGTCAAATTAATGTCAGTCTGGTATTTCTTCAAACATTCGATTTTCTTGCGTGGAGTCGAGTATTCCTATTCTCTGTCTCTGTCTCTGTCTCTGTCTCTGTCTCTCTCTCTCTCTCTGTCTTTGTCTCTCCTCATCGGTTAAACGTTTATATAATTTTATGCTATCCGGTTGTCATTTGGATATATATCTTAAGTTCAGTTGGATTCATTCCTTGTTTATATGTTGGTGCAGCCACTAACTTCTTTACGGCCTGATTCTACAATTGGCAAACTTGGAGATCATCTTCAAATCAACCATCCGAACTCCTGGGTCTTTTTACGTTCTGAGTTAACACTGAATACAAATCTTAGTTTGGGATCTCTTACGGGGAATCCAGCGCATTTCTGGGATCACTAAGGTCAACTCTTTTTAGATCAACGTTACTGACCGACATTAAATACAATTCAGATCTCTGGTATTTCCTATCGTGAATCATTTACTATTCTTCTACTGTATTTTCTATGCATATGTTGCATATAATGTCATATTAACTCTGAAACAAGGTTATCTATGGTAATGAGAAACAAAAACTTTCAACGGTTTATAAGAAAAGAATGATAACTGTCCCATTAATATGATAGACTAAGTATCACCATGTTATATTTCTTTCAATATTTAACTCAGTAATTCGTGGTAAATAATGTACCACTCCAATACAGTTAATTTTTCTACAGGAAATAAAAATTCCCGGATTCTGTTTGTACATTTTTGATTTACACTGAGTAAAGTATAAAAAATGGCAAAGAAAATATCGGAAGCCATTCCCTTTCTGATGACAACAAACAAATATTCACACGTGAAACATCTAAACGTGGTGGGTCTGTCATAAATAACACTTGTAAAATTTCTCCTCAAAATCTGACACCTCCATAACGGACATTGGTGGTAAAGGCGTGTCGACTAAAATTTGGCACCTCCATTGCAATTAAGATTCCGGTCAAGTTCGCAATGCTTTCATTTACATTTAAACGAACAATTTTATGTTTAGGCCAATGGCCAAAACTTCTTCAAAACTAAGTCTCATTAGGATATAACAAAGCTAACTTTTAAGGAAACTTGACTCTTTTTTGTACTGGTTATACAGACATGAAGACAACTCTATCGCCATAGAGTGTTGCCTGCTGAACAAACTGAATCCCCAAGCGATTTGAGCAGTGGATGTTGGGTCATTAGTTTAACAGTATTCATTAATCATAGTTTAGAATTAATTTCTGACTTGTATTTTTCAGTTTTCCTTTTGTTGAATGTTTGACAACACACAAGTTGTCATTCCAATCCGATCTCGGCTGCTTGGAAAGGATCATGTACTGAAAACCTGGAAGTTGAAATGAAAGCATCAAAAATAGAAAAAATACTTTCTGTGATCGTTTTCCTCTCTCATTCTCTCATCCTTTTGTTCATTGATGTCATTTCGAATTTTCAGTTTTATCTTTATTCGTCAATATTTCTCCTTTGATTATCAGTTTTGCTGTTGACATTAATTATTTCCCTTTGTTATTGCTATTTCAGTTTGTTTTCACGAATATTTTTGTTGCTTTCTTAACTATCGTTGTCAATTTTATATTCATATCTTGTAATATTATTTTATATTTTATATTCATATCTTGTATATTATTTTATATTTTATATTCATATCTTCTGTATTATTTTATATTTTATATTCATATCTTCTATATTATTTTATATTTTATATTCATATCTTCTATATTATTTTCTCTAGACAATATTCTTGCCTTATATCTAAAATTCAGTGCTCTTCTCTCCGATTCCATGACAGCATTTTGAAAATCAGTCTGTTTCTCCCGATTTTAAAGTCAAATTTCATAATGAATTATTATTGGTGGAACCAATCTTAACTATTTAAGATACACAAATAGTCCTATTGATTGCAGACACAGAAAGGAAATGATAGGACCTTGTAGGCAAGGTATTAAAGGAAAGTGAGAAGAAAAGACAAAACATAAATTGGAAGAAGTCAATATATATAGTTATCAACAACTATTAAATGCCCGGGATGCGTGGTACGAATTGGAGGTGTCAAAATCAAACAAGTACAGTTTAAATATCTGTGAAGTGATTTGACAGATCATGGAAAATATATAAAAAAATTAATCATTACATAACAAGCGACGCAATAAAGTTCTAGGGTGCAAGGGTAACCCATGTGTGTTTAAGATTATGTGAAAAACTATTATTAAGGAGAGAGTACAATAGAAGAACAATTATTAAGAACACCGAAAATAACGATTTACATTGCATTTCAATTTTTGAAAATCAAAGTTGACTGGGAAGCAAGAAAGAGAATTCCACAAGCGAAAAGTGTGATAGAAGATACTGTTTGCATAGGAATTACGGTTACATCTCGTCATTTCAACTGTAAAATATGAGACATTGCTGACAATCTAGCACTGTGCTTAAATTCATAATGTCTAGTTACCATAGCAAAAAGTTCCACAGAAAAATTATTATGAAAGTATTTATAAAAAAGGCACAGGGAAGCTATGTTATGGCGCTGTGATATTATTAAGAATTTTTATTTTGGTTTTATTAAGAATCTCTAAATAAATAGCAAGGACACAAGAGCAGATGTGGCAGCAATAGTCAAAGAAAGGAAAAATGGTAAGCTTATAAATATGTAAGATATATTCTGTCAAGAAAAATTGTCTAGCACAATATAGAGAACCAACTTTCATAGATGCAAAATATAGCAATTGATTCAATATACTCGTCCCACTTCATGTCAACTAAAAATGTTACTTTGAGAAGTAGCAATAAGTCACTTTCCTGGAGGTAAACATCAGCCATTGTGATGCTTGGTAAAAAGGCTTCTTCTCTTAGATGACTAAAAAAAAAGAGCAGTTTCGTTTTTGAGACGTTAGGTTTAACAAGGCACTCCTTCGCCTATTTGTATGTCATTTCTTTTTAGATCAGTTGCCGATTTGATTTTATCGAACCGATCAGACTTAAGATAGGAGATGTGTCATCGGCATAATTACCGAGTTGAGAACTGATGATAACAGGAAGATCATTTATGAAATAAGAAACAACGTAAGTCCATGATAGAGTCATGAGGAACACCAGCATTTATGCAAAAAAAGATCTAGAAAAGTGGCCTTTCAAGACAACTTTTATTTCGCGATTTGATAAGACTGAATCATTTAAAAATTTGTCCAGAAATACCATAACTTTTCAATTTGTGAAGAAGGCAAGTATACCAAAGCCTATCACATGGCTTCGAGATATCCAAAGCAACAACGCGAACTTCATTATTTTTATCTAAAGCTTGACAATCTCTTTCAGTAATAATCGTTAACAATCAGCAGTTGTGACCTAGAGACGTGAAAGCCATATTGCTTATCTAAAAGAAGATTCTGCGAAGTGAGATGCTTAACCAATTTGGAGTTAATTAGAACCTCTACCAAAATGAGGTAGAAGGCCAATAGGCCGATAGTTAGAAGGATCAAATAGTTCGTCTGAGTTCTTAAAGACAGAAGAAGTTTTTTAACAAGCAGGAAAGAAAGAATCTGCAAGGCATTTATTGCAGAGTTTAGAGAGAACAGGGAACAGTTCAGGAATACATTTTTAAGGACTATTGCAGGGATACCATTAAATCCACATGTTTTATGAAGATCGAGTTTAGAAATTATAGCAGAAACATAGATGGAGGAAAATGAAAAACAAATAGGACACTGATACTTAAAATACGAAAGAGACAGTTGAACGTTCTTGGACACATAATCAAGAAAGAAGGCTTAGAAATTTTGATATTCACCGGGAAAACAAGTGGATTATTTATATAAACATATAAATAATCCACTAATCAACCCTTTTTGTAGATTATATTTAAAGGCAGAAAATGTTATTTTAGATGATAATAATCTTGTGCGAATGATAATGATATACTGATATAAGTCATATTAACCTATAGCTGGGAGGAGAAGAGGTGGATTCATATCTTTTCCAATGTTATTTTCGTGTGTGAATATAACGAACCTAACTGGAACTGGAACTCAGTTCTTCGATTTACAATTCTGAGCCGTTATCAATTTCATCAACGGCACATCTAAGGTTACAGTACCTGGTATTCCCAAGTGGTCACCATCTAGGTACTGATCAGGCCCGAGGTTGCTTATCTTCGGTGATCATATGAGAATCAGTGTTTCAACGTAATATTGCCGTAAGCCAGAAGGCAAATGGGACAGAGGGAAACAGCGAGTAACTTAGCTAACGAGCTTGTGTGGATGACAGATACAGGAAGTGAGAGCTTTAGTAAAAAGACACGTATTGATAAGAGCTACAAAGGGTAGGAAATAGTGGAGAGTCATGATCATCCACATCCTGGATGAACACGACACAGACAAAAATTCTTATATTAATTTTGTTTACATTAGCATTGTCTTTTTCAGCAATTCTGAAATCAATTTTATTTTATTTTTTTTTTTCATTTGAACATATTTTAAGTCTATTTACAGAGCATTTGATGTTGAATTGCATTTATAATTACCATTTTGTATCTATCTGGAAAGTTAATTGATATTTCTCCACCTGAATGTCTTTTTATATTCCAAACAAAATTCTCCATCTTTTCTTATGGCTACTTTTGAATAGGAGGCACGGTGGAGTAATGGATATCGGCTTGGATTGAGTTCGAATTCCAGTCGAATCCATTACATTCACTTACGTGCTAATACCCTTGGGAAAGGTGTGAATCCTCTTCTTCTCTCCCCAGCTATGGGTAAATAGTAGGACAGACTGGGTTCTATAGCCTTGGATGGCAACTGGATTAGAAAAGGAAAACTCTGAATTCAAAACCTGCAGAGGGTCACTTGGGGATCTTGTGTCACGTAGTGCACCAGGTCTCTGTATTCGGCCCTTCAAAAAGTGTGGATGGTCCTGCACGAAACCTTCACCACTATAATCAAATCTCATGTGCTATACATGCGGGTTTGGGGACCGCTTGTGAATTCCAAATTCCCATGAAACTCCAATATTGGAGCCGGCTCAACCCACCCCGGGTGAATGCCGTTAAAAGAACAAGAAGAGAACTACTTTTGAACGTGGTGAGTCTGTTCACCAAGGTACCCACGGAGGAGGCACTCTCAGTAGTCAGAGATAGATTAACCTCTGACTCTTCCCTAGAGGAGCGGACCAGTATTCCAATAGATAATCTGATGGAGATGTTGACTTTCTGTACAAACAAACAACACACTTCGGAATGGGATCTCACATATATCGACAGGATGAGGGCTTAGCAATGGGCTCGCCATTATCACCAGCAATGGCGAATATATACATGGAATACTTTGAAGAAATGGCATTAGAGTCTATATCGCTAAAGCCAACTATATGGTTACGGTACGTAGATGACACTTTCATACTCTGGCCACATCAGGAAGAAGTCCGGGTTCTTCTGGACCATATGAACTCAATAAGACCTTCGATACAGTTCACAATGGAGAAAGAGAGTAACAACTCACTCCCATTCCTGGATGTACTAATATCTCGAACAGAGAATGGGTTCAAGACATCCGTATACCGTAAACCAACATTCACCGGACAGTACCTCAATTTCAACTCCCACCATCCATACAGCGTAAAGAAAGGGATCGTCCGATGCTTACAACATCGAGCAAAAGTCATAAGTGGCGATCCAGAGACGTTAGATAAGGAATTGGTCAGTATAAGTAGTACCCTACAACGCAACAACTACCCTGGGTACATGGCAGCAGCCCCAAAAACTGGGATAGGCGGGTACAAGAGGAGGAGGAGGAGGAGGACAACAACACTCAGAAAACAGTCTGCCTGCCTTATGTGAAGGGGTTATCAGAGAAAATACAAAAGATCTGCGGTCCATATAACATCAGGACAACCTTCAAAAGCGTGACAACACTTCGCAGGTATCTCTCACGAGTGAGACCCCCATAGAGAGGAACATGACTAAAGACTGTGTATACGCTATCCCATGCAGCTGCGGAAAAGGAATATAAAGGAGAGACAGGCCGCCCCCCCTCAAGGTAAGGGCTTCAAGAACACCAGAAAGCTGTAACGCGAGGGGAAGTAGAAAAATCAGGCGTGGCTGACCACATATGGAGAGAGAAGGGAGATCACCGCCCCTGTGGGATCATGTTGACATCATAGACAGGGAACACCATTGGAAAATTCAAAACTTAAGGAATCAGCACATATGCTAGGCCACAAAAAATCTCCTGAGCCGACCAAGCATAGAAATAAATACAATATGGGAACCAGTATTAAGGAGTGCCAGAGAAAAGCAATGATAACAAAGTTGCAATATGAACTCTGGTAAAGACATGCAATGATAACAGCAAAAATTGCAATATGAGCACTGGTAAAATGATGCTGAAAACATTAGGTTTATAATACTCAGAAGTTCATACCCAGATGTCCTCAAGGACACATGGCACAGTGGATAAAAGGCGTTGGTTAGATCCAGTGACAGACCCAAAGAATGTGAGTTCAATTCCTGGTTAAGGCAGTGGAGAACTTTCAGAGGGAAAATTAGCAGGAGATAACTGATAACTGACATCCATCAAACATGGCACGTGGAATTAGAACAGTCTACCCCAGCGATCGAAATAAAGGGTTCAGTTCGAAATTCCAATCACCTGAAGAAGGCCGGAGAGTACAACGGCCGAAACGTTGTGACAAATATGGCGACAAAGATGAGGACAATAGTCCGACTAATGTAAATACTGTTTTGACTTCAGTTTTGGAGCTAACTGTTTGCTGATATCTAGGACCCTAACAGATGTTACCACCCCGGGTCAGGGTGGATCTGGGAACACTACCAATTAAGAAGTGGTTTCACGCTCCTCAAAACCTCCTAATCAGAAGCCTTGCTGATGGATGTAGTTTATCGTCATACTCAGGACGCCACATGGGGGGGGGAGTGTGTTACTCTACAGAGATGCATTCGACCGTTTATCTGTAAGTGTTTTACTACTTTTCTATAAATTGTCCAGTCTGCAGTCTTCTCCCGTGTTTGGCCGGGGTACGTCCTTGTTCTTCAAGTTCCTTAGTTTGCTTAATGTGAAAGTATATATCTTGCTTAGAAATTGACCACTCGCCATCGGAAACACATTTTTTACAGGTTGTTATTGAACCAAAACAGTGGTACCTTAGATATACGTTAATCCTACAGGATCGTTACAAAAGGTATTTAATATTGCCACCATTCTGGTGATGGGAATGAAGCGGGTAACTCAGCTCATTTTTGGCACTAATTTATCATGAAATGATATAAATAATGATACTGTAATATTGGATCATAAGATTGAATGTGATACACACACACACACACACACACACACACACACACACACACATATATATATATATATATATATATATATATAGTCGACTCTCCCGTCGAACTCGACGTATAAGGGTCAAGCAGATCAGTTTCCAGGAAACCGACAGCCCGATACCGGCATATTGAGATTTGATTATAGTGGTGAAAGCTTCGTGCAGAACCAACCATATATATATATATATATATATATATATATATATATATATATATATATATATATATATATATATATATATATAGTTGGATTGATGTGACCCTGTGACCCTGGGTTTCACGCTTTTTGCGATCGACAGATGTTAGCTTTATCTCTGATATTGAGCGCTTTCAAAAAGTACCGCGCATATATTATATATAAATAATATATATACTAAATTGCATATACACATTTATATATATATATATATATATATATATATATATATATATATATATATATATATATATATATATACATACTTACACTTACACTTTTCATATATATATATATATATATATATATATATATATATATATATATATATATATATATATGTCTCCGCGTGTGTGCCTGTATTTAGGTAGAAAATTCTCTTTCAGGCATGTCTGATTGAATAATTTACAAACGTTATGTCTGCTTATTTTGATCACAATCCTTTCATAATCACCAATTTTTTCCGTACATTACAATTAAATGAGGCAAGAAATGCACTGTAACAGTGAGAATCACTTTTATTACCCAAGTACTTCCATTTTCTTTTTGGGATCATCAGCAATTGGTAAGGCAAAACTATGTGTAGCTAATCCATTACTGATTTTTTGTTTTCCGTTTAAATGCTGTCGCTGGCAGTTAGGCTTTATCTCGTTCATTACAACATGAAAAGTTTTCCATTGTGGAATTTTTTCTTTTATCTTTGAATGTTATGGTTGAGTATACATGAAAGCACTATATATATATATATATATATATATATATATATATATATGCATTAATAATATACGTTTTTATCACACCGGTAGCTCAACTCGTTTTTTCATGCACAGTGCAATCTATAAGTGCCAATTGAAAATTGGTCGTTGCATAATTTTAATATTCATATTAATACCGCACTAAATGATAGGGGTTCATTTATTTCCAATACGGCATAAATATCAGTATTTAAATTGTGCAACCGTCAGTTTTCAGTCGACACCTGAACATAATGTATGTTTATATATATATGTAAGAGAGTATTGTGAGGTCATGCATAAATTTTAATGATATCTACATATGTGCATTATAGAAATAGATGATGTGAAACGATAGCATCCATATGTAGATATCAGTTGTTTTAAATGCATTTCAACACTAGTAAGCAGGGGGGTACGGAGAGTGAAGGTGGGAGAATAGACTGGGTATAGGGGGGAACCAAGGAAAGGATAAAGGTTGAACGGGGTTCAAGAAGATAGAAGATGGCGAATGACGTTGCATTTTAATTTATGAAGATTGTAGTTATCGGGGAAGTAAGGAAACAGAAGGGAGTTCCACAGGCGGGAAGTGCAAGAAAAGAAACTGTAAAAAGATGGATGCTAGATGCCAGCCTCGTAGCATTAAACTCACGTAGACCAGGCACCAGGTAAAATAGCCCATGAAAGCGGTAGCCATAAAAATATTTGTAGAAAAGACGTCACGTCGGTGAGAAAAAGACTGAAGTCGGGATGCCAAGACAGGATCGATTATATTGCAAATCCTTTTCAAGAACTTCGAGATGAGTAGCAGTAGCACCTGACCATATATGGCAACACTATTTGTAGATGCTTTTGGTACTTTGTCTAATCTAAACCTGGAGTAGGATATTAGCTGACCTAATGAAGATCCTTATTCTAGCAAGA